ATAAGATTCTTATACTACGAATAATAAGAATCTTAACATTACAGTATGCATTTCTCTCGACTGAAGCATATAAGATTTTCATAAGATTTCTATAAGATTCTTATCTGATTTCCGTACTTTCGGTCGCCTAGAGTTTAAATACAACTCTAATGTATAAAACGAAAAATTCTTTTTAGCTCAAAATTTTCGTACCGAACACTGTGAGCTATAGAAAATCGTTAGTGTTCGACGACGTGTGAGTCAGTACTCACAAGTCTTGGGCTTATCCGAGCTCAAAATCACGTGATTTTGCAAACTAGGATCAGATAATAATTACCCAAATAAAAATAATAAACCTATCACATTTAAATTTTCTGTTACTGTATGATGAACTGTGATTCGTATGTGATGTTTGCACGTATTAGCGAATAAAAACACATTTACGATTGAAAATGAACGAATTTGGCATGAAAACAGACAAAAAAGAGTGAAGGGTAGCGGCACGCAGTAGCTAATGCAATCAGCAGAAAATCATATAAAAGCCTACTGTAATCCTACCGCAATTCTACAGTAGGACTTGCAAGATTATACAAGATCTGACTACAGGATCATATAAGAATTTCACAGTAGGATTTTATATGATTTTTTGGCTGTGAAGTTTTTCTACAAAATCCTACAAGCTTGCCGTAGGATCTGGTAAGCTCTTGTAAGATCCTACAGTAGAAGTGTTTTGTGTTATGTCTTCTTCTCAGCCGTGTAACGATCTTCGAATTTCGTCTAAAAGTCCTATTTCAAATTCATTCGTTTAAAATTTGATTCAGATCGGACTTATGGTTAACGAAATAGATTTCTGACAGGAAGAGGACCCTTAATACAAAGTGCAAAATGTCACTATGACACTCCTTTCTAACTTAACTGTAACTAAAAAAAAGACGAACCTTTCTTTGTATATTTTCTAAATCTGTTCGTAGAATATTTTCAATTCGTTGTGATTCAATTAAATGTGCACGCGTTTGTTCATATTCTTGTTTCAATTTTTGTTCATTTTGATTATATCTCAATAGTTGCTTTTCGGTATCTTGTAATTGTAATTTTAAACGATTGACAGCCTCATTCAATTCTTGAATTTGATTTTCAGCCAATTTGATTTTCTATTTAATGTAAGAAAAAACATTTTTTGTTTATGAAAATAATTTTGCATCACTTTCTATAATCATTTTCAATACAAATTTACAAGCTCTTTTTCTTTTGTATGACGATCTTCTTCCGAACGTCCACGATCACGTAATAAATTGAGCTAAAATAAATAGAGAAAAAATAAGTAAACTATCTGTTTATCATGATAAGAGCGAAAGTTTTAAATTAATATCAAGTGCTTTCTCGTGTCCGAAAATTTTCCATTTGCGTATATCTATAACAGTGAAAGTGCAGGAAAATGCCGTAGAAAATTATATCGATATTGGTCGAAAAAAGACCGAAACAAATCAATCATATTTTTCGACTTGAAACCTGAAATTTTCAAAAATTTGTCATAGATCCGATTTGAACCGGAAAATAAAAATAATATTTTCTGAAAAATGTTGTTTTTTTTTGTAAAACTCTCACTTGTAAAGAAAAAGACAGTATTATGAACCGTACCAGAACCTTTTTTTGAAAACATTAGGCACTTTTTTCATGCTATTTCGAAAGATTTCAAAATTTCAAGTTGAACAATCGGAAAGTAGTTTTTGTTAATAATTGATCTGAATCCGACTCGAGTTGTTTCGATCTTCGATATATACTGACGTCTAGAGTGCTCATTTGAAATTTTTAGTGTGTTTAAAAAAATTTCAACAAAATAATTTTACATAAAACAGCTCACTGAAACAAACAGCATGACATAGTTTTTAGATTAGAAATTTAGGTTTTTGGATAGTTATCATCAAGTAAAAGCCTAAATAATCATAGGGTCTGTTATGAGAGTGAGAGGCCTTTATGGAGCGGATAATAAACAAGAAAAAAAATGTACAACTTATAAGCACATTTAATAAAAACATTCACTAGCCATGAACATCGGCTATTAGAAAATTGAAAAATTCTTAAATTTTTTGTTTTTTTTTCATCTATTTTAAGTTTTGTTGACCCCTTTATAAAATAACATTTTGAATCTAGTCTGTCTGTTCGTTGCTAGTCTAATGAATGTTTCTGGTAGATAAACAACCTAAATGAGATTTTCTTTTTTGTTTAGTAAATAACACAAAATGCAGCAAACCACTTCAAAAAAAAACAGTTGATATTATTATTTATTACATTTGTTGATTTTTTTCCACTATTTTATATAGGTGAAATTTCTTACAAAATTAGAATGATCACCTGCTAAAACAATGAACAGATTTGTATATTCTCCCTCTTAGTAATACAATCGTAAATTCTTTTTAGTTGTTTCTCGTCTTACTTTTGATTGTAATGATTGTAATCGTAAATCTTTATCTCGACTATCGGTTTTTAATGCTTCGATTTCACGACTCAATTTTGTTAGACTCGATTCCTTGCACATACAAAGAACAATATATTATTAATACTTTATTGGCTAAAGAATTTAACATACTTTGGAATGTAAATCTCGTTGTAAACTTGATACGAGACCAGATGCAGCCTGTTTTTCTCGTTTTACTTTGTCTAATTCGCTTTTCATAGTGTGAACTTCATTTGTAACTGTAGAATTTAATGGTTCCAAATTACGTAACTTCAAAATAGAGAATAGAATTATCGTTGAACATACTTCATTTTAATCTACATACTCTATCAGTTAAATCACGAATTTCCGTATCTCGACCTTTGACTTCTTTTTCTAGTTGTGTTACACGATTTGTTATTTCATTATCATTCTAAGATGTCCAAATCAAATTTAAAATTATTTTATTAAATAACATTTCGAGCAAACCTGTTGAGGAAGATCAAGTTCACCGGTAAAACTACCGCTAACGTAACTGCGTGTATTAGAACCATTTTGTTGAGTATTTACATTAACTCCGTTTGCCCAAGCATTAGCTACAAATTCAAAAACATAGTGAACTAATAAAGCTTTATATTCAGATATTCAATTAAAATTTTGCATTGCTTTTCTACCTCTAACTGGCGGTTGTGAAATTGAATCTTTTACACCATTTGAAAAATAACTACCATTAAGAGTTTTCTTTTGCCCATTGCTACCACCCGCACTTGACGGGCGATTTCTACAAGAGATAAGACCAATACATTTTTTTTCTAAAAATGAAAAGAAATAATTTATATACCTCAATGAGAATGCTGAATTTTGCCTATAGTTTTTTCCATTGATAATTGGATTAAGTGGATCTATCGTGTTCGATGTTGTCGATGTTATGCCATTTGTTATCCTTCTAGCTGGTATCGTCTGTGTTATCATTTGCAACGAATTTGTATTTGATTGACGTTGATAGATCGAGGGCATTGTGCTCTAAAATAACAAGAAGTGAATCTTAAATACATAAAAATGCTTTTTATTCCTGTTTACTATTGGATCTTGTTCAATTCTAAATTCTAACGGTAGTCCATTGAAACCAAATCGTACGGTATCTCCATCCGCTAATCGTACAGCCGCATTTTGTATACGACAGTCATGAACGTACGTTCCGGTTGTTGAGTTTAAATCTTTTAAGATGAAACAACGGCTGTCATCATCGTATTCCATGAGTGCATGTTGACCATCTACATGAGGGCTCTGAAGAACGATGAAATTATTTTGAAGAAAATGGTAGAAATAGATACGATTGAATTACTTACATTTATACTAATATCACAATTTTCTCGTCCAATAGTTGTGACTTTTGGACCGAGTGGAAAGGCAAATGAACCATCCTGACTGTATAAAAAGCCCTTCATCTAAAATAAAAAAGTGATATTCAAAGGACAGAGGCAAAGATAAGCACCAGAATTATAGATTATTCTCAAAACTAGAAGTAGCCAATTCCATATTATACTCTTTGAATTTTACCCAAACCTTTATCAGTCCTACTCGACATTTCTCAATGAAGTCTGCGTAAAACTCCACCGTTTTTTTAAAGAAGGTTCTCATTTTTAGGGGGTGGAGAAATTGCACTAGGGAGTGGATAATCTATTGCAAAATAATAAGATTAAGAAAAAATTTTCTATAATCACCGTAGGCAGCAAAGCGTTTCAAAACCTGATGCGGTTTACTTCTCAAGAAAAGAAATCCTCCGCGCTAAAATATTTTTCGCATTCTCAAGAATGAGTCAAAGTTCTTTCACTGTTTGAGTACGTTTGGTAAGCCGCAGAGCTCCGTATGATCTGGACTGAGTTCAGTCCAGTTCATATGAACTAGAAAACTGTTTATATCTTCTTAAACTAATACACGCAAAAAGTGTTAAAATCTGTTTATGAGCAAACACTCTGCAGTGCTCTGTAGAGATAAAACAATGCGACGTGGAAAACAAAAAACAACGAATTATTTTCACTGAACGAATCAATAAAACATTATCAATTTGTTCTGGATTTATACTTGATCGCTGTTCAGTTACGACCAGTCCAGAAGAGCTAAATTTTCGTTCCGCCGAGCTGTTGTAGCGAATTCTGAATGTATTTTCCAAGCTACTTTTGATAGGCTGGATACGTTTTTTGATTTTCACGTAAAAATTCTAGAGGCCAGAGGATCTTTATCGGTTTTTAATGCTAATTACAAATTCAGCTCGTCTAATAGTCGATGATTATTAGTTTCTATTTCCCGTAATGTGTTTTAATCATCTAATACACTTCTATGTTTGTCTCCCTCTTTATTCTCACGACTGGGGCTACTACTTTCATCATCTTCAAATTCTTGATCAAAACATTTTATTTTCTTCTTTTTCGGTTCATCATCCGAAATTATCAATTTGGAAACATCAACATCAATACCTCGGACGAGAGTCATTTGTTGTCAAACATACTTATGACAATTTCTTATTTCTAAAGTTGAACATATTTTTAACGTTCTGTATCGAGCAAGGGTGCAGCAGTGTGCTCAAAACGAAGATAAAAAGTAACTACCTACTTTTTAACGACTTTTAATTCCAGTCCAAGTTCATGATCCCAAAAATTTTCGAGTTTGTTGACAATACAAACAATTAAAATCATCCTTATCATGTTTTATAAGACATGCGATGGCCAAATAAAAATTTTGCAAAGTCTATTAGACTATTTACTCGATCGACTGGAGTCAGCATAGATCAGTTTTTTTGAGTCCATGGGCTGGACTGAACTCAAAATAAAGAGCTCTGGTAAGCTTTTTTATGCTTCGCGTCGATAAGCAGTGATATATTTTAAAAAAACTGAGTGCTTATTTGTCTGAAAACATTTTTATGTTGTTCTGAAAACAATTTATAACTGAGTAGACTAGAAACTAGAGTCCTACGGGCGTGAAAAAATCAAACTCCAACTAGATCCCAATTTTTCTGAACGAAATCTGTCGTAAAAGTTTTTTCGAAAATGAGAATAGTCAGATGAAAATGATGAGCATGACCATCCGTGTGGTATTAACGCTTAAAAATCGGCGACTTTTACGTGACTTGGCGTTCGCTTGGTGCGATTCTTTGTCTCTCTATTAGTCGACAAGATTTTTATACCGAATCCGCCTATGAGAAATTTCATTTTTGCTTTTTTTCATTGTTTTGCACTTTACTGAATTTCTTAATGGTAGTGCTGACTACTCGGGCTCTCTTCATTCGATTAATCGGTTTGAGATACCGCTCAGAACTCCAGTTGTTCATCGGATCCTTCGATTCAAATGCTGACCCTTGTCGAAACAACGAGTCAATTCTAAGGAGATCACGAAAAATACCCTAGACGCATCTCGCAAAAAATTCAATCTAAAAGAAAAGATTAAATTGAAAAAAACAGAGACAATTGCTGTTGAAATTCATGTTTGTTATATACCTGATCAGCTGCAAACTGAAACGGTGAATGATTAGAAAACCAAAAACCGACAACTAATCGCGATGTTTTGAGAAATCTTGACTCGCAAAATAATCAACGTTTAATTGCGATATATAAAACAGTCGCCGACATATTGCGGTTAAACAGCGACTTTTCAGAAAAGTGCAGTAATCGTCGATTTTTAAACAACATTGAAGACATGGATAGTCATAGCCAAGAAGCAGAAACTCAATCGAAGTAATGATAATTTTAGTAACGATAAAAGCCAACGACAAGGAAAGGTTTCTTATTATTTCCATTTTCGATAGCTAAACGTTTAGTAGACTGAGAAAAACATTTTCTTTTTTTCTTTTTGTATTGAATAAAACCGTAGAAGTAACCTGAAAAAATGAAATCGCGAAAGAAGAAATCCGATCTCGTCCTTCTGAGCTCAAACCTGTTCCAAACAAAAAGACTCTAAGATAAGATATACTTCAGTAGATTTTGTTACAGCAGAATTAAAAGCGACTGCTATTGTGTCTTGGACCAGTTGGCAACTGCCATCCAGACAATTAAGGAAAGAGACTCACTGTAAACTTTGATGTTCAGGACAACCATGTCTCCTACGCTTTTTTGGGAGGCGATTGGAGGCTTTTATTTCCTTCCTTACTATTATAAAACCTACATGTTGAAACTTTCGCGGTTCGTACTTTCGTATGAAGTGGACGGAACTGCACGGAAAAACCTTAAGATCGGCATGGAAAAATAGAATACGAAAATAGGTGGTAAGTATCTAATAACGTAGAAGAAAAGTGATCGATCTCTAATTAATTTAATTGTTACTTTGTGTGATGTAATAAGATGGATTAACATCTTTGATTAAAAGTACGCTAATCTTTTTGTTCGGTCGATGTCTTGTATTCTAGCAAAATGCGACCGTCGATATACTCTCTGAAACACCTCGTGGTATATCGGTCGTTAACCGTGCAGTATTATTAAACTACTGCCACTAAGAATGAATATTGCTGATAGTTTTTCAATTATTTCGTAGAGTGGTCGACAACCAGAGATGATAGTCGTCCGTGTCATTGTGCAACTCGAGTGACAGTTCGCGCAGTCCGATAGTCAGGGACGAGAAACTTGAAACTTCTTTAATTATTTGTCGCCCTATATACTTCTATAACTAGCAAAACAAAAAGTTGCAAAACTCTGAAGGTACGGTGTACTGAGCGATACTCTCAATAGCAACGCGATGTGGATTCGAGGACCACCGTCATACCGAGCAGTTTCAGATTAGAGCATGGTAACTCATGGTTTTTTAGAAAAACGCGGTTAACTGACGGTATTCAGTTAGAAAGTTTAAATAATAAGTTCAAGATGACTTTACGTATATATGGTCTCTCTACAGAGTGCTGTTCCTCTCAGTATACACAGTAGACGAATTAGATTTCTGTGTTATTTGTATTAAAGATAATGTTAAGCTTAAAACATACTTGAAAAATGTCGTTATTTGTCAAAGTATTTACGAGTTTCATTGGTAACGTATTTTAACATGTTTTCCACCATTCTCAACAACATTCCATCTCGTCACCGAGTAACACTCCGCATTTTGAAGTGATACCGGAAGGTCAAGCATAAAAAGTTTACCTGATACTCAGGTATTGTCCTAGAACAGAGCTTAGCGTCGATATATCTAAATCCGAAGAGAGAGGGTGGCACAGTCGAATGTTCGCGATTCGGTTTTATTTAGCCGAAAACTTCATTTTCATACACATAGCATCATTATGATGCTAATCTGATATTATCAGATTGAAAGTTTATATCGCTGAAATATCGGTGAACCTTGATGGCAACTCTAGGTGTATATAATTTGGCAAATAAATTGTCGCCATTTCTTCACTCATTAGTGAGGCTAATATTTTTAAAATTCGGAGAAAAATACAGTTTGACAGGTAGATGTATGAAGTTTTGGTCGAACCTCAACTAAAAGTACAGTAAAGGGTAGAGATACAATTTTACGTTTTGATTGGATTTTATTGTAGGCCATTTTGACAATGGCAATTTCGAATAAAGAAAATTGTATATATATAGGCCTTTACTAAAAACTGAAAGCCTGGAATGAAATGAAACGCAGAAAAGACGTAGGATTGGATGAAAATTTCTTTTCGATCAATCATATATACCTTTCATCTTTTCAGTCTTCCAGTTTTTAGTAAAGGCCATAGTTTATTCGAAACTGCCACCGTCACAACATGACGTTTACATATATGTAAGACGTTCTTTTTTTCTTCCCTTTATTTCAAACTATAATTATTATACAAACATGTCGCAGAGGCTGCTCATATATTGGTTGTCGTGGCTTTCTATAAACAAGTTATCAGACTAAAACGTAATTTTATCGCTTTTGAAACTCGTTCTAAACTGTTTATAGTGGTTTGCTCTTTCATATGCTCTTATACTTCTGCATAACTTTATTTTATAACGTTCTAGATTTATATTTCAGCATAATCTCTTAATAATTTGTTGTCGTTCATTTTTTTGTCTATGACTGAATGTATGGCGATGGTAACAATAGAAAAAGACGTAAACGATAGATGACTTCATTTATATTATTATCAATTACATCTGTTTACATACTCAACAAACACTAGTATTAACCGTATCTTCTCATTCGTAAATGAATAATAGAAATTTTTTTATAAAAAGAAAAATTTTCTAGTTATTGTTGTTATTTGTTTCTTCCAAATAATTTCTTTTATGGTAAGTCATGAAAGCCGAGAGAAAAACAGAACGATTAGCATAAGAGTAAGGACATAAGAGTAAGAAGTAGAGGTTGTCATACATTACAGTTCCACTACTAAAAAGTAACTTTTCGCATCAGACATAGTGTTTACGTATAGTGTTGTTGATCATAGGGAGTTTATTTATTTGTTTTGTAGGTGTGCATATGATTTATTGAATTGTCAAGGTGGTTTTTTGTTGTTTCTCGAAACAAAATGAGTGATACAATTGACCAAGAAGATGAAAAAAAGCCACGGTATGTCAGCAGTATCTTATACTGTCCTTATATTTCACTAATCGCTGTTTTAGGTCAAATTCATCATCAACAAGTTATGACCGCCCTCAAGATATAAATCGACGTTTATCAGAAATTAAAAGTGAAATTCAAACGTTACTTCGACAACGAGTAAAATAGAAAAGAAAAAGACAAGAAAGAATTTTTTTTAAAATATCTTTTTATCTTATTTTAGAAAAAATATAATGATGAAAAAATTGCACAAGATTCTCAATTTATTATCAATGAAATGTTTGAGCTACAAAGAGAGTATCAAGAAATGAATAAACAAATTAATCGAAATAACACCATCAAAAGACAACTAGTATGCTCTAATTTCGCATTTTTTCGGTTTTTGTCTTACATATGCCAAGACATTTTGCGAGATAAGTTGATTTTTATAATACTGTATATGGCGTTGAAATGTTTGATATATTTGTCTGGCAACATGCGCAGATTGTACATTTACTTTGACACATGTTTTTTTTTATTCCAGCGTGCTCAAATGTCGCATTTACGTTCACGATCGAGAGTACGTTATTCGTCACTTGCACAAGCTCTGAAAGATAAACAGTATGTAGAAAAAATGATTGATTTATTATTTTTCTTCAAGTATATCTATTTATCTTTATAGGCGCTTTGAAGATGAATTAAAAAGGCGACATGATAAATCGGAATATAGAGAATTATTGAAAAACAATCTAGCAGCTATTGAATCTGATTTACCATTATTAAAGTAAGAAAGAATTATCTGCATGTTGGAATAACATGTCCGTATATTTGTTATTATTTATTAGAGAAGAAGCTGAATTACAAGGACGGATAACAGCATCAGAAGAAGCACAAAAAACAGCTACGAATAGAAGAGATGTATGTTTGTCTAGATGTTGTTTTGTACTGCTTTTTATGGAATTCATAGTTTTTTTTAGAAAATACAAGAAGATTGGACTAAATATCAAATGAAACGTAAACAAAATGAAGTGTTGTTAAACGAAAGTGCAAAAAAAGTGCCTATACTCGAAAAAAGTACGTTGTTTACTTAAGAAATATTATTGTGTTTCATATAATGTTGTTCATGACTGTAGAAATCGATCAACTTCGAACGGAACGTGAAGAATTATTAACATTAACTCGAACATCTAAAAAATGTCGTAAATCAACTAAAAATTGTTTAGCATCTGTAGACACAACAAATAAGGAGAACTATGAAGAATTTACTAATGAATCGAATAAATTAAAAGCATTAGCAGAAGAAAGGTAAGTTATTAAGTAATCTTAAATCTTAGATCTTATCTTTTTTTGATTTTTCAGTATTGCTATTGAACGACATAAAACTGAAGAAAAACTTGCTCAAATAAAAACAATGCTATCTTATTTATACGAACAAATGTGTGAACATGATTTAGTTGATACACCTTCACCTAGTACCACTGGTTTAATTTCACCATTATTTCCTTCGTCGAATATTACCACCTTCACAAATGAACGAACACCGTCCGAAGAACAAATAATACTACCGTCTTACATGAATGATTCTGATTCAGTCACTTTATCCACATATCCGACACTGTCAGACACATTAAAATCTCCTCCCGTTACCACTGCTACGAAATTACCGAGATATTTTTCACCGTTACATTTAGAAAAATCTGATAGTATTAACAGTGATAGTAACGAAATAATGAATAGTAATTTATCACAAATATCGTCAAATAATATCATTTATGATAAAAAATCAGTCGAATATAAGAAGGAGCTTGATAATGACATATTGAACAAATATGGAGGTTCAACAATAGCAAAAAAGAAACCGAACAAAAAGAACAAAAGGGTGAGTGAAAGAGAGTTCGAATATTTATTGAGTTTAAATAACATACGTAGTATAAATATGTTCGACTCCTGCGTTAAGATGATTGTGTGAGCCGAACACGGCTCATTAAGATACTTGAGTGTGCGTATAGATGAATTATAGATATATCTAAATGTATTGATTGGTAAATGCTTTTACTAATCTGTATTTTCTCCTTTAGACATTTGCTATTAAACATACAAGTCAAATGTTACAATTATACAATACAATTCGTTCCTCGTATCTAGATACTATGCAATCAATGCCAATGTATGAATATGAAATTAAACCAGCGATAAAAACTCTCGAATTTATTCAACAAAGTTTGGAATCTTATTTAAGCGAATTAGATAATCGACAACTAAGTTTATCATCGACAGTGAGCCAACTGACGCTAAAATCCACTACAGAACAAGATCAAGAACAGGCATCGAATGGCAAACAAGAAAATGAAGACATAATTCCGGAAGAACAAGATGAACATATTTTTTCATCTGTCATTGATTCAGCTGTCGAAGATACTTACTCTGAAACATCATCGTTTGATTTACTACCGCAAGCTATTTTGCCTACTTTGCCCATTGTGCGTCATATTAAAGAAAAACAATCACCGTCTTCATCGAAAACAGCAACTTCTTCACCACCATCAATAGCAACTTCTTCACCCAGACAATCCTTATGTGAGTATTGTATCTAAACTATTGTGAAGACAGATTAACCACTCACTGATTTGAAATAAATTCCAGTTTTTTTTTCTTCTAATGCATGTATTTCAATAAATTGTTATGTTTTAAATTACGGTCACTCGCTTCCGGTACTTTATGAATATTAACTCTGTTAAAAAGAGACTGCTTAATATACTGACTTCTATCGTGTAACATGCCGTAGTTATCTTTGGGTATTTTTTCTATTTCACATGTTATAGCCGGTTAAAATCAATCTTTCTTCTCAGTTACACCGTCATCGCCACAACGAGATCATGAATTTTTATTATCGGTCGATGAAGATTCACAGCTACCTCCTGCTACAGCTATCTCCTTATCACCAAATGGATTGAATATTGATCGACAAACATCAGATGAAGGCTACCGTTCTTGTCGCGGAGGACGAGGTGGTGACTGTACACCTATTCAATCACACTGTCAACGACAAGTTATTGCTGTTAAATCAATTTTATTTCGTTCAAAAAGTTACGATTCTTGTGAAAAGGTTGATCATTGGTTACAACAGCAAACGCCTTCATATCAAAATAACAACAGAAATCATCAACAGAGAAAAGTATCATCGGATGAGTACTACTGTTTCCGAGCGGCAACCAATGATGATGATTAAAACGAAAAAAGATGATTGAAGAATAAGCAAGAAAACCAGCCTTGCCTTTCTTATCTTTATGGAATGTATCCGTCCCCGTCTCATTTTTTGCCCAATTCTTGTTACATTTTTTCTTTTGTTCCGTTTCTATTCGACAGAACAGTATCATGATGGTTTCGATGCTCTTCTTTTTTTTCTCGTATTTTTACAAGACTCAAAAGTTCATTTCCAGCGAAAAAAAGAACTTATATATTCATTTGTACGCTGATTTTTTTATTGGGTTATCGGAAGAACTTTTTACTGTTATTTTCGACGCACAATAGAGCTTAGCTCAACCAGGATCCTATAAAAGGATTTCCAATAATCTATTTAGGTTATAATCACATACATCTTTCGCTTTTTTATGAGTAAATCATTTCCTTTACTAGTTGTACCATTTGTGGCTGCTAGCTTAAACTGATCCGGAATTGCTTTTCATCTATATGTACAACTTTGGACTTTCTATAGGCATGTTGCTTTTTGACACCTATTTTTCGTTTGTATATGATTGTTACTTTCGTTTGTTTACTTTTACACTTTCTACTTTGAGTTTTATCATAATTACATACATTTCGCTCTAAAGTTGTTAAATCAAAAAAAAGGGTTGTTATTGTTTTTATTTGAGTTTGTTAATTTAAACCTGTGATTATTCAAATATTTTTCGTGGTTTTTGTACAATAAGAACTATGTTTTCGCCTTTATTTATCCTTTCTTGGGAAATAGTTGATTTTTTAAAAATGTTTTTCTGTTTTCTATTCTCGATAATGATTTATCGTTGTTACTATAGTCATTTGTTGTTTTCCTTATGAAGAATGCAATAAAATGTAACAATAAAGTAATAAGAAGTTTGATTTGATTCGCTGTAATGAATAATACAAGCAATCTAAAAGGAAATCGGTTGTACATAAAATGGTAATACAAGAATACATGGTTCCCAGAAGTTACAGATACAACCGGTACGTATTTGAGGGCTTGCGAAGTGTGCTCATTGGTATAAGATTATTGGCATATAATCTTATTTATATGACACCATAATTCTTCAAAACTTTTTTGTATGCACGCCGTTTGTGTTGGAAACTGTAAAAGAGAATGATGATGACTGGTATTAATGGCGATTTTAGTTCTATTAAGAATTCTGAAAAATGATTTCGATTTTATTTTTTGGTTTATAGTTAAAATAAACATATAATTTATATGACATTTACCACACATTTTTCTGAAATATGAGTTTCAATTTCAACTCGAATCAAAAATATTGAAAAACATACGACTAGATGTATGACTTGTACTGGACCTTTTCTACAATTTTTTTTCTTTGAACATATATGAACTTAAATGCTGTTTTATGTTTAAGCAATATGGGAATATTGCCCACCTTGAACATATCTTCATTTCTATTTCATCGTTACTGTTTACTTAAAATGCCAATATTTCATGATTAATTTGACTGCACGCCAAAAAATGATTTCTCTAATTTTTACTTTTTTCCAATTTGTATCTTTGGCTAAAAATATTGGTTGATCAAAATTTATCATATAATTGACATTTTGTAATAGATAATCAATAGCTATTGATTCGCCTGCTTCCTATTCCATTTTGATGTTGCGCTCTTTATACCATAACTGCCTTCTTCATGTACCAATATTCATCATTTTTCGCAATTTACTCGATATACCATAGTCGTATTTGTATTGTAGACTTACAACTTTTAACGGATATTTTCTTGGTTGTGAATCCATTTTTATAAGCGAATATAATACGATTGATAGTCAAGTTTTTTATAACCATTTATCGACCATAATTCTTGTTTTGTTAGTATGATATGTTAACGATGTAAAAAAATTGCTTCATTTTTGGTTTTTGTTTAAAATCTGTAGTACTGTTACCATGTTGTTTACACAGTAATAGTAACAATTGTACTGCTTTTCTCCTGCAGAAAATGTTTTTCAGTGTACACGTGCCAATGACACAATAAATAACTTTTTTATAGTTACTTTTGTTTAATTATGTATTAATTGGAGTGCGGTACCGAGAGGTATTACTACCACATTCCACGCATGAAGCACGCAATTTATGTCAACACTTCGCTTATGGAATCAATAAGATATTTGAAATCTTATCTTACAAGCATCGTGCAGCTAAAACAAAAGATGGCATTGGTGTACACTCGTCTGTAATGAGTGTCGTTAAAGTGTTTTTGTGAGTAATCTCCTTCCATTATTTAATTTTATATATGTTGCGAAAAAGAAAAGGACAGTTGTAATAAAGAATGTAAATTACAAATTATACGTATAATAATGACGATCACTAAACTTTTTAATAACAGCTTATTTTAAATAAATATTTATGGGGGACCTTGTACAAATTATTCTGACTGATTTTGAAATATGCTGAAAGTCTATCTTTTATCATTGAATAGAACAGAATGTTAAGAATAATGATGATTGAGAGATAGATACGATTCTAACGTTCGATTAATCAATAGAAAAAATACCCGCTTATATCTTACAGCATCCGGAATACTAGAAATGTGGTTTGTGTGCAAAATTTTAGCCTTTTAGAATTTTATAAACATATAAACACAAAGAAAAAATAAAGTTCATGCAGAGTCAGGGAAAAGTGCTTTTTCATATCCAACACATTCGATAATCTCGAAGATTTGCTATTTTGGCGAGAGGTATTGTGAAAAGTTTAGGAAACTTTTTTGAACAAAATGGCGAAAAAAGTTTCTGTAGAACCAATAGAAAATGAAAGAAAAAATTTAAAGCTATTTTAACCTCAAAACTGGTCACATTCTGCCAAATCCAGTGAAGTCCAATGTCTGAAACTCGGAGGACCCGGTCGGATCTTTTCCGACATCTTCCGGCAGGGATGCCGGGCAACGGATTTCCGGCATAATCCAACATGGCTGTTGCCAGATTTCACCGAATTTCATCATTAGTATAGTACAACCTTTATATGCACGACTGTATTGTAAATATGCAGTAAAACTTGTGATGCAAATATTTCGCTTCGCACGGCACTAGTAAGTTCCGCGCAACGTGATTGACATCTAGTTTGTATCGTGTTGTTTTTGGCATACGCTTTTATGACAAATTTGAGAGTTCTGCTCTTCCACTTTATATTATAAGCATCATGCGGCGTCGATCCGTCTCTCCTTTTTTTCCTAGAAAGGTTGGATTTTGAATAAGACGATAGATAAAAGCAAATTTCTAATCATTTTTAAGATCAATTCCTTCTGTGTATTTAGACCCAATACAATCTATTGGATCCCGATAGTACTGGTCACCCAATCTATTGGGTTTTCACAATATTATGGGTATTGTGTCACTTGAGTTCGGCCTACTTTTACAGTACAGAAGCACGCTTTATATCCCGTTCTGAATCAAAAATAACCCAATTGGACATGCACCGATTAATAATTAATATTAAGGTATTCAGCAAAGTCGTTCCAAATCAGTTATAAAAAAGCTCTCAGAGCTGCCGACCGCCTCATTTTGTAGGAAAATGTTTTCTCTACCAAACTGAAGTGCCACACAAATTTTAATGTTATATATAGAGAAAATACAATAGATCGAAAACGCACTATAATCATAGAAAAATAATCGACAGTCGCTTTTTGCGCAATTTTGCTCAGTTTTGGATGCTTATATATATCGCAGATAACACTAAAATGTCTTTTTGCACTCCAGTTTGGTAGAGCAAACATTTTTCTACAAAATAAGACATTCCGCAGCTCTAAGTGCTATTTTATAACTGATTTGGAACGACTTTGCTGGATGCCCTAACATCGATTGTTAATCGGTGCATGCCTAATCCCGATCGGGATATGCTTCCTCACGTTTTTATGAAGGTAAATGATATTAAGGTTAAAAAGTTGCAATCCAGTGTATTGTGGAACCCAGTACTATTGTGCAATATTATTGGTTCCAAAATATTGGGTGATCAATATTATTGGTCCCAGTAGATTGGGTATATAAAAATATTGGGACCCAATATTATTGGATGGCCAATAATATTGTCTTCAATAATGATTGGTATTGGTGCATGCCTATATTGGATGGCGAGAATCATGAAACTTTATTTGTAAGGACTGCGATACTATCAGTGAAGTAGAATGTATGGCCGAATCTCGAAAACTCAGAACACCGAAAGTGAAAACGCAGAATGGATAAGATCGAAGAGTAGAATGTCGAAAACCTAAAATCTAGAAAGAAAAAATGCCCATATATTCACCAACATTTTCTTCAAGGGAAATTACCTAGTTTCGAAAAGCAACAAAAATCAGGAAAATCAGGATCACTGCGAGGCCTGTACTGGTATCTCCAAAATATTTCTTGTTCATAGTTCTGCCGAGAGATCTGCAAATCTTCTGTGCAAACTGTCATTTTGTTTGTATGTGAAATGTTTTGCCGTTCTGTTGGATGAGGTGACATCAATAAGTATAGATCATAGTCCATTCAGTTCGATAGATTTGTACAAAGTATTATTTTACAATTGCCAAGTGGGCGGACAGAAACAAAACACTCTCTAAAATTTACATACGAGCTCTTAACTATTCATTCTATCTTGTTACAAAATATCTGTACCGTCGAAAATTAATTTCAACACGGTAACTCCTGCAGTGTCATTTATCAAGAGTAACAAAGGAAACGAATTGCTGGTTCTTGATTCTTACATATTTCGATGCAACAAGAAAACAGCAGCAACTAAATACTGGTCATGTGAAGAAGGCGATTGTTCAGCAAAGGTACATACAGATTCGAATGGCGCGTTCTTAAAATTCACAGGTAATCATCAGCATTTGCCAAGTCCAGAGGAGGTTGAAATTCGAAATTTCAAGCAAAGAGTGAAAACACGAACGGTCAGTGAAACTACGACCGTTGCTAAGATATACGATGATGAATTAGCGAAACAGAATTTCTCTCAAACAGCTGCAGCAATCGTTCCATCATCGTACGAATGGGGTCTGTGCAATTTACGTTAATTAACGGGATACAATATGTTTTTTCTTATTTAGGATCATCATTGAATAGAGCACGTCGAAAAATTACTCCTGTTCTTCCGTCTTCGTCTGTATTCGATATTCCCGATCTATATGCAACTACACACAACCAAGACCAATTCATATGCACTGATCGAGTTAAACGTAAAAAACGTTTAATTCTATTTGCAACCAAAAGACAACTCAAATTCTTATTTGATGCCAAACAGATATCAATGGATGGTACATTTGATAGTTGTCCTCCTAATTTCGACCAGGTCTACACAATTCATGCTGTGAAACATGAGAAAAGCAAGTGAACGTCATCTTCTCGCTGAATCTCATATTTGAGATGTATCTTTTCAGGTTTCCCCTGTGTTATTGGTTTATTAGCTGATCGAACTCATCGTACATACGTCGAATTATTTCGGGAGCTGAAAGATCATGCCACTAATCTCAAAATGAACTTCAACCCGTCGCGAATAACGAGTGATTTTGAGAAGGCTCTGATAAAAGCTGTGGCATCTGAAGTAAGAACTACTGGGGAATATCGATTGAACTTCTCTTTGTTTCTTTCTTTAGTTCCCTCAAGCACATCACAGTGGATGTTACTTCCATTTTACTCAAGCGATCTATCGCAATATTCAAACACTCGGTCTCACAACGGCATATAGAGATGATGAAGATTCAAGAAGTGCATGTCGAAAACTGATGTCATTGGCTTTAATTCCATTAGGCGACGTCAAAATTGCTTTTGAAGAGTTACAAGACGATTCTCCCCTTACACTACGTCCTCTATTCAATTATTTCTCACGTTTCTGGTTAAATGAAGCGCCCATTCATCTATGGAATGTTTGCGGGACGAGTCGACGAACTAATAATGCTTCAGAAGGTATATCTTTAGTTCCATCTGGTTTGAACCTAATGGTTGTTTATGTAGGCTGGCATAATCGATTCAATGTGCGCGTGAACAAACACCACCCGAATATTTGGCATTTCATTAATTCTTTGAAAGATGAGGAGACCCATTTATCACATAAATATAAAAGTTTAGCGTTAGTTGGCGAAAAAAAAAAAAGCGTTTAGTTGGACAACGAAAAGGAGAAATTTCTTAGGCATAAGTCGGGTACAGGTCGCGTATGGATACAAAGTTCTCGGACCGGGTAGGATACGGGTGGAAAAAAATTATCGGGTCGGGTATGGGTACGAAAACGGTACGAACCCGTGCACATCTCTATTCTCAATCATTCACCCTCTGTTAAAAATGACGATTTTTGTCAAAAATATTGACTTTTAGGACAGCACATGGTGTGGTAGCTTCAAGTCTCCTCTTTCAATTAACAAATGCTTTTTGTCTCTAAAAATCTATTTTCATATCATTTTTCATTCAGCAAGCTTTTTTTTAAAATCCAATACCGAAAAAGTGTTTTGCATTCATCTCGAAGTTGTTTTATTCCTCTGAAGCATATCGTAGTTCTCAAAAGTTTCCTTCCAGATAAAAGCGTGGAAGCTCAGTTTAGTTTTAAAATGAATCTAACAGGTATATTTATGATAGAGGAGGTGTAGCACTGGTAGAACCACTAAAATTAAACAAAACTCTCACTTTACTTGATCTTAGAGGGAACCAAATATACGATAGAAGTATTACCCAGGCCAAACAGAACGGTCCGTTAACGGCGTGTAAACAGCACATTAACGGTCATCATAAAAACGGTGTAAAAACACGCCGTTTACGACCACCATTAATGTATCGTTTTTACACCGTTAATTTACGGCGTGAAAACAGTCCCAAACGCTACGTTATGAAAACGGTCGAAAAACGGCACTTAAACGGTCATCGTAAACCATTTCACGGTACCTTTCATCATCGCTGATGTCTTCGATACTTTTTGCCCAAATTCTGTCATGTTGGTGGTTTGGTTTTCTTATCACATAAATATAAAATTCATCCGAGAGCGCGATATGTAGAAAATCCCCCTCAGTCCAATCAGCAACAAAATTTGCGAGCCATTTCCGATTTTCAATATGTGTATTTGTCTTCAATGGCTTTGAAATCACGTTGAATGGTTTTAATCCTTGTCGATGGCGTTCACATGGTCGGATAGAGGAGAGCGAGCTACAATTCGAAAATCACCTTTAAAACCTTTCCAAACCTTTCCAGACCTTTCCTTCGCGGTGAAAACGTCTATGAAAATATAAAATATAAATTATTTCTGTTCCAGTGAAGTGGTGCGCAGTTAAGGTTTTTGAGACTTCCGGTATTTTGAATACCGTGAAAAGATGATTAAGAAGAATTGGAAAAAATCAATATTTGTACCAAGGGATAAAACTTTGTCAGTATTTTTGTTTCTAATACGTTCAGCTGTTTTTTTTATTGAAAATGTCTTTTAGAACATCAAAGATCCAGCAAGAAGAATCAGTATGGCCATCAATGTTGAATTCTGCATATCAACTTTTGCAAAAGCTGAATAAGAATATTGTTCGATTTTCTCTTGGATATATTTGTCCTTCGAGTCTGTTATTTGTTGTTAGAGACGGCACTGGGGGAAATCCTCAACCTTTTCTATTTTAATCCTTAACACTTTTTTTAATTTGATGTATAAATATTCTGCTTTTTGTGCACTTCATCAAAATAAATTGGAATGATTGAGAATGTCGCAGCTTTAGCAGTTTTAATTCATTTTAAAATACTTGTTGATCATTTTCTTTTTTTATTCTATTTTATTCAACGAATAATTTAGTGCGACAGAGCAAGTTAAGGTGGATGGAAATAATGTCATCTATAGTAAAAGAGATATCTATACACGATTAAACATTTGAAAATGTTAAAATTACTTCTTTAGTTAGTGTACGATTTTACTTCATTATTTGAACAACCTTTATAAATTACAAATATCAAAAATCTATGTAGTTCAAGATCATAAACTATAAATATTTAATTTTATAATATATTGACATCTTATAGTCTGTTCAATAGAAAAGACAATATTCTCCGAAGGATTAAAATAAAGTTCAAGATGATTTAAAGGTAAGACAGGTGTGGAAAAGTTAATGGAATCAGAATTATTCTGTTTTAAAAGATGAACTAAATTATTGTTTAATCTTTGAAAGGTTAATTCACTGGCTATTTGTGATGACATTGCAATAATATACATAAAATTTAGACAACTTAAGTCAGACTGCTGTCCGTCCTATATTTGATTTCAATAGAACAACAGAAAAATAATCTGTCAAAGAAATTTCTTGAATCTTGGAACAAATAATGCAGGTAAAAAGAATACATCTAATAGTAGTCGAATAGACCATATACTAGAAAAAATTAATTTAACTATCTATTACATGTCTCTCTTTGAAACGCCCTCTTTCTCTTGAATGTTCATTCACCTTCATTGACATTTCCTGTATTTCTCGTTCATCTCTATTATTATGATGATCATAGAATTTTACAGTGAAATTTGTTGTTCCATTATCATCACTTTGCATTACACGATTATTATGATTACTTCTTCCACAATCGTCACCAATTGTTAATCGTTCTAAACTTGAATTTCGTCTATATTGAACAGTACGTGTATTTTTTGGCTCATCCAATGGGACATATTCAACAGGCAAATGACGAACATGATTATCAATGTCGGTGGTAAATGATGGATCTAAATTTGACTCACTATGAGTTCGTTGTCGAATATTTCGTGGTAAAACGGTTGAATATTCAACATTTTGACGATCATTCAGATCGGCTGTAGAAGAACGTGTAGCACGATGCATCGATTTTCGATGATGGGAAGATGAAGAATGATGATAGATTTGTTTATTATCTGTTGTTCCATCATGTACTAGATTTCGATTGGTTTCAATTGGCGAGTCTCCAATTTCATTACCCAAATGTTTACGATATGTTAATCGCTCACGAAATCGTTCTTTTATTTTTTCACGATACGTGCGACGCGGTGGTGGCGATGATGATTCTGACCGAACAAAATCATGTTGTACTGGCGATGAATTTAAGTCCCAATCATCAAATTTGCGTCGTTTACAGCGTACTGTATCATTACCAGTACGACGGTGCCGTTCGTCTCGATTGAATAAGTTTGGTAATTCAACACGTTCCATTCTTGGCGAATTATCGAAACGTCGATGCCGTTGTTCTTCTTCCACTACTAGACGTTTACATAATTCACAATCGGAAAATGATTTAGCTAAAGATCGATGATATTGTTCATTTGAACGAAAATCGTGCATTGTGCGATATTGATTTGGATGCCGACGAGGACAATGTTCCGTATAAAAATATTCATTTCGAACACCTGCTGCTTGACTATCGTGTAAATTAAAATCACTTCTACTTTCTCTTCGATATTTGTTCATGCTACGAGCAACCGATGTACGAGAACTATCATCTATACCCATTCCCAGTCCACCAACACTACTACTATTAGCACCAGAACGATGTAATGTTGCATTGCTGGGATGTCGAGTAACTGGAATGGGTGTTACTAGTTGAGCACGACTCGATACACCACTGTTATCAAAATAACGAGTAATGGGTTTCTGAAGTCGCTGACGACGACGGCGACGACGTCTAGAATATAAATTAATTTTTGACTAAAACCAATATTTTCTTTTCTTGTTAGAAAAACAGGTATTATACATACTGTAAACACAATGCAATTAATATGGCTAGTAAAAGTATTAAAATATAACCAAGAATAATTGGAATAATTATCCATATACCTGAAAATAAAGAAGTCCTTTTATCAAACATAACTAGAAAATGATGCTTAACAGACTTGGTATATTTGTCCAACCAACTGATTGAATTCTTGGTACCGTTGTTGTAGTAGTAATCGGAGTAGATGTTAATGGAAGTGTTGGTAAGATACATGACTCATAGAAACAGATTGGTATCGTATAAAAATAGAGAAGATAATATGTTGGCTGTTGTGCATAAATAAATGTATTTGGAACAAATGTTATTTTCATTTCATGGGTACTCGCTGCTAGTAAACTTGTTGATATATTTCCATTCAATGTAATATTTAAAATCGTAGTGCCATCCGATGAAATACTCTCAATCATTAGGCTATCATAATTCAACTCACCATTAACATAATAAAGAATTGTTTTATGATCGGGTCGTGCATAGATGGTTGTATAACAGACAGTACGTACCGTATTCTGTGGATAATTTCGAGAGTAAATAAAACCATAGTCATTTGTTAATGAGCCATTTTTACAAATATCACATTTTGTTTGTATATCTGAATTATACCATGTTGGTAAACAATGATAACCAATTTCTGTTACAGCTTTAAATTGACAAAGACTACGATCACGAATTTGATATGTTTGAATATCGGAACAATGTGTTTTTCCAGAACAAAGTGTCGTCAAATACGGTAACGAGTTTCCAGCATAATCATAGCATGGATCAGTAAAATCTGGTTGACATGTATGATCGAGACCAATTTTAGATGGAAAGGAACGAACATAATCGATGGAGATGATATAGACAGGTAAACGTTTCCACAATTGACGACGTTTAAGAAGACGACGAGAAATGAGAGTTTGTTGTTGATCAATAACAAATGTGTTGGCAGTTACTTGTGGACATTCTAATGAGACTAGGGAATATGTGGGACAAACGGTAACAGTGCGATTGGGTAGTTGATATTCAAAATCTTAAAAGAAATAAAAAATACTCAATCTATTGAAATAATTTTCTTATAGCTAAGTTATATACTAGACTCACATTTTCCATCTACATAACTTCTTGTTTTATTACAAACAGTTACTAATAATATTTCAATATATAATAGAATTTGTTCTCTCAAATACATTGTTCATCAAATACTCATGTTCTTCTCTCATTAGTTAACATTAATTTGTTGATAATTGCCATGTTGACCACGATCCATTTAACTTTATTATTATATTAAAAAGATGAAAAAACGCAAGATGAAAAAAAAAAGAATGTACACAAGTATGTTTGTTCATTATGAACAGAAGAAAAGAAAAAAATTATGCATAAAAAACAAAACTTTACCGTTCACATTTAGAAAGAAAGAAAGGCCATTTTACATGTTATTTTATTCACAATGGATAATAATAGAGCTCATCCCCACACAGATGTGTCACGTTGGCGTGCCGAGTGAAATAAAGAAAAAACTACTGTACGACATTTGAAAGGCCTACATGATAATCCATTTCTGTGTCATATTTACCCAAACAAAAACGAGAGAAAGAAACGAAAAAATTAATATTATGATGGTTTGAATAAATACTGTGATACAAAATTGGAGTTATTTCTACTCTAATTATGAATTTAATCATTTTTCATGATAAAATCGTTGCTTAAAATGGTAACGGTAGACAGTTTTAAAGTTTGGATTAGCTTAGTTCTTTTATCAGAAATTTCTCAGAATGATGTTTGAAACATATATACGAATATCTATTCGTATAATGTTGGGACACAGCTATGGATATTGGAACAAAACTTTCTCAGATTATTACAAATTATAGAGAAGAATTTGCATTCGAATGTGTTAGTAATCAACATCATGGTAAACGTTTACGCTTACGTTTTCTTCTAGTGAAAAATGATTTCACATCGTCTGGTGGCATTTTTACGTTTTTTTTATAGAATTAATCCTTTCATATCGATATAGAAGGCGTTCTTATTGATATATATATAAATATATGTCTGAAAATATTTAGTTTTTCTAAAGTTACGCGTTCGGATATTAGTGGATATCGAATAATACCACGATGACCATGCATTGGATCAAAAAATGGATTGTTTTTCCAACTTCAGTTGATGTTATAAGCTAAATATTATCACTGATAAGAAAATTTTATTTATTTATAACAGTTTCAAGTTCGCTTTACGTACACAGCGCAAATAGGATACTAATTTTTTGTGCTCTGTAAAACTAATGAATTTTAAAGTAAAGAAAAATTGATAATTTTCCGAATTATATTGTACTTCGAATTGAATATTATATGCATGACTACATCAAATATGTAGCACATGTTTATACATGTATGATGCATTTCTCATCACTTTTTGCAAAACATTCACTACTAATATGTTATATAATAATACATCCCTTGAATATCTCAAAACTCCGTTCAAAATATTCAAATGAATTGCATCGTAGCTATTTGTTCCATAGTCTATTAACTTTACAATAACTTAAAACAGCCTGGCTATATGCACGGTCAATATCCGAAATATATGATTTATAATTTTTCAGTTAAAGGACAAATTTGTGTATTATTTTTTAGTTCTGTTTTGTTATCCGGACTCTTAAATGATGTTTCAAAGTTTGGCATCCACAAATGTGCCTATGGCTCGGTTATGTGTAGAAACATTGTCTCTGCTATCTTCTTTAATGAAATATTTTAATAGAGATAAAATAGCTAGATACAATTACTCAAAAACGACAACAGAATAATGGGATTTCACATATCGAATATCACAAAGATCAATCAACTTTGTTTCTTGTGTCTGACGTTTTGTAATTTCTGTTTTGCCATCGTATATTGTTTTCCTTTCGCGAATGAATCAATAAACGTGGTTGAGCATCGTATTAGATCAAAAGATAGTTTTATACATTTAACTAAACATGCATCGTCAGATGGCAACATTCATTGAATGACTTGAGTAATGTTCGTACCTTGTTCTGAAACAATCTGAAAACTATGAGATCGAAAATCATTCATTTTGCTCTGGCTGACGAGGTTGAAGCAGAGAGTGCTGCACCAGCGCCTCATACGATTAATTGTTGAGTGATTAATGTCAGAGCTTGCAGATGGACTATAGGTAGCTATGATACTGATGCGATGGCAGCAGGAATTTCGATGGTAGTTGCTAAACCAGTGAATGTCGCAGGTGCTAATATGGATTTATCTGAGGTAGACCATGCTTCATAACGATTTTGCTCGGATTCATATGCACTTAAAAATGTGTAAAATCGTTTTCTCTACAAAATCTGATAAAAGTTAAGTCGAAAAAGCACTGGGCCAAAATCAAGGAAAATCGAGCTCTCTCCTTTACAAAATGGGAAACAGGTAGACAATTTACTTAGATCTCGTCTTAGTTCCGTTTTAGTTTTACAAGGCCTTCTCTCACATTGAATTATTCCACTTAGTGCATACACTTCGGATTCATGTTTCAAATCTTACTTTATCTGCAACATCAACATAAAATAATTTGATAATGTACATCAGGTGAGCGCAAATAAAGTGTATGGCTAAAAGGAACGTGGTTAGACACGACCCTAAGGGCGTCAGTGCCTATACCCGTATGCTAGAAAACATTATGAATAAAGAAAAAGATTTTTCAAAGAAGGTCGAGAGGAAATTTGTAGAACATGATCAGGCACATAATCTTATAAGATCTGATGAATTCTTATGTGATCTTATGAAACCTTGTCACTTCTTGCTCGATCATACAAGATTCTATCATAAGATCCTGCAAGATCGTACGAAAGCTTGTTGCAAGAAATATCTTGTGAAATCTGTACAAGAATCATGCAGACATTTGGGAAATCTTACAATAAGATCTTTTTAGATCCTATACGATCTTGCAAGGTCGTATTTCAAGGTTCGTCCATCTGGACACTTCACTCTTAAAAAAATTGCGACTTAGGATCAAATTAAGTCACACTAATGTGCCTTATTCTTTGAAAATAAGACACATTAATCCGACTTAATTTAATCCTAAGTCGCATTTTGTTTTAGAGTGTTGACCGCAACTATACTCTTGGATCATTCATATTCCTTCAAGCTAGCTTCGTTTAACGGTGTTTTGATGTGCTATTTTAGACGGCAACGTTGTTTGCGTTCGTCGAATTCACTAGGATTAATGAATTTCGTACTGATTCTACATCGGATTCAACGCCGCC